TACGAGGAGGGTGATGAAGAATTGAATGATGATGCGGTGGGAGTGATGTTGCCGATCATGATGATGATACTGCTGCTGATGATGATGATGATGATGCTGATGACGATGACGATGACGATGATGCTGATGATGATGATGCTGATGCTGATGATGATGATGATGATGATGATGATGATGAGGGTATCGATGATGGTATCGATGATGGTATCGGTGGTGGTGAGGATGGGCATAATAGTAATGGAGAATCTGATGAACACGGTGAAGATGATGATGTCGATGTTGAGCATGATTATCTTGCTGATGTATACTATGCCGATGATGGGTATGCTGCTGACAGTGGTGATGATTGACAACCGTTGCATGGTTCAGCGCAACCATTGATGTTTGCACATTGGCCTGTAGTGGTAGGTGTTCGGAGGCGTCGAACAGAAACTGACGATGACTAGGATGTTGATGCTGCTGCTCCTGATCAGGACGATGCTGTTGCTGCTGATGATAGTGCTTACGATGATGACGATGATGATGCTGATGATGATGATGACGATGCTGATGCTGATGATGATGATGACCGTAATGCAGACGATGACGATGACGATGATGATGCTGTTAATGATGACGATGCTGATGATGTTGATGTTGATAATGATGCTGGTGCTGCTGATGATGATTTTGATGATGCTGATGCTGCTGATGATGCTGATGATGATGCTGATGATGCTGATGATGATGATGGTATCGACGATGGTATCGATGATGGTTTCGGTGGTGGTGATGATGGGCATACGCATAATGGAGAATCTGATGACAATGGTGAAGAGGATGATGCCGACGTTGAGCATGATTATCATGCTGATGTATACTATGCCGATGACGAGTATGCTGCTGACAGTGGTGATGCTTGACAATCGTTGCAAGGTTCAGCGCAACCATTGATGTTTGCACATTGGCCTGTCGCGGTAGGTGTTCGGAGGCGTCGAACAGAAACTGACGATGACTAGGATGTTGATGCTGCTGCTCCTGATGAGGACGATGATGTTGCTGCTGATGGTAGTGCTTACGATGATGATGATGCTGATGATGAGGATCCTCATAATACAGAAGATGTCGATGACGATGAGGATGATGCTGATAATGATGCTGGTGGTGCTGCTGCTGATGATTTGGATGATGCTGATGTTGCTGATGATATTGATGATTATGCTGATGATGCTGATGATGTTGATTAGGATTGTAGTGCTGCTGACGATGCTGCTGATGATGAGGGTTCTGCTGAGGATGATGACGATGCGGAAGACGACGTTTACGATACTGATCGATCATGATGACGATGATTCTGCTGCTGCTGATGATGCTGCTGATGATCATGTTGACGATGGTGATGATGATGGCAGTGATGACCACGATGACGAAGACGGTGATGCTGCTGCTGATGCTGATGATGGTGTATGATGATGGCGATGAACTCTGAAGGAGGAAGGGCAAAGGCGAGAGGTATCGAGCTTTTGTCCGCGGCCATTTTCAGAGGCCAGCAACATATGTACACGTACGCGGTTAGCTTCCCCTGGAGTGCGTGTCAACGCGGACGTTCGTGCAGGCAAGACCGCGGAGGGCGTACATGTACATATGTCGTTGCTCGCCCACATTTTGGACCAATTCAGGCGACCAGCCGCCAATCTGTCCAGGCCGCACCGCGGCCCGCTATCTTACATCGAGACAGACAAGGTTTCACCCTTTACTCTTGAGATCATGCCTTGCCTCTCACGCGGCTCTTTCCTGCCTCTGGCATTATGGCGAATACGATACAACAGGGTTGGACGTAGAGTTCGCCTTCGGCGAAGTATCTGGTTGGGTCTCCCAGCTGGCTTTAAACGTGGTAGCGGAGTTGGCCGTTAGTGGTCAGCTCTCGTTCTATTCCTTGCTATCCACGGCGCTATCTGGTGGACTACTGATATGGTGGACCAGCGGGGCGCAGTGGTTCTACGCGGAAGAGACCATGTCCACCGCAAGGACACTTGCAGTGAAGCCTCTGCTCACGCAGAGGTCTCGTACCTGAGCCTTACATCTCTGCGCTATAACACTCCTGAAGTCCACCCACCATCGCCAATTTTCAATCTCTTTGAAGTGGCCATGCATTGTAACATGCGTTATGACATCGTGCCGCCTGAGCCTCCTCGCAAACTGACGGCGACGTCACCGCGCAAAAAACGGCCACCTACAACCAGCGCCGACCTACGGGCCCACTGGATTGGCATCGCTATCTTTGGCCTCCTCTGGGTCGCCATCGGATGTGCTGTTGGACATAGGCAATGCGGCGCAGACGACGCGCGCACCGCCGGCCCCCCTTGGGACCCTGTCGGAAACGCACCCTTCTGCGAGTTCGTTCGCGAGGTACATTCTTGGATCAACGTGACCACAGTCGCTATGACTCCTTCCAGCAGGCCGCTGCTCTACAGCGTGGCCTCGGAGGTCTCGCAAGGGCAATTGCCATGATAGCAATAAT